GGAACATCTAGCTCAACTGGCATAACACAGTTTATAAAGACAATGTTCTACATTCTACTTTGTAGAGTAGCATCTGGGGTCTTAAAAGCTTGTGAGCAGCCATCTAAGATACTCCGCTGGTCTCACCCCTTTGGGAGCAAGGGAGAATGAAGAGAACAGGATACAAGGAAAAGATTAGTCCAAAGCACTAATGGACCGCAGCCACCAAGGCCTCCACCAGACTGAGTCCAGTATAGCTAGACGGTGTCTGGCTACCACCACTCACTGCTCTGACCGGGATCACAACAGAGGGTCCTAGACAGAGCTAGAGACGGATGTAGAACAAAACTCTAACTCACAAAAAAAGACCAGATTTACTGGCCTGACAGACTGGAGAAACCTCAAGAGTATGGCCCCCGGACACCCTTTTAGCTCAGTGGTGAAGTCACTCCCAAGGTTCACCATTCAGCCAGGGATTGGACAGCCCCAGAAAACAAAATGGGACTAATGAGGTACAGTAGTCCAGGGAAAAGGACTAGAAGGCAGGTGGGGACAGGAAAGCTGGTGATAGGGAACCCAAGGTTGGGAAGGGACAGTGTTGATCTGTTGTGGGGTTGTTAACCATTGTCATAGGGCAATATGTGTGCTAACTGTTTAATGAGAAACTATTTGTTCTGTAAATCTTCATCCAAGGTACAAAAAAAAAAAAGAATTATCTATGTGAGATCAAAATGACAACAGCAACTCAAGGGGTTTGATGGGAAGCCTAGGGAGCAGTGAGTTGAAGATAATGGTGATGGACTAATCTGGAGAAGGATGGTGAGAATAGCAGCACAACTGGAAGAATGTAATCGATGTCACTAAATTGTATGTGTAGAAACTTTTGAAATGGTGTATCTTCAGGTATGTATATTTTCACCAAAAAAAAAAAGGGTCCTCCAAGGTCGAGGAGAGGGCTGACATGCCGTGGGGTTGTTAACCAATGTCATAAAACAATACATGTACTGACTGTTTAATGAGAAACCGTTTGTTCCGTAAACCTTCATCTAAAGTACCATTAAAAAAAGGAAAAAAAATTACAGCCTTGGAAACCCTATGGGGCAGTTCTACTCTGTCCTATAGGGTCGCCATGATTTGGAATCCACTCGACAGCAATGAGTTTGGTTTTGTTCTGACTATCTACCCTTAAGGTTGGTTTAAAAAAAAATGAAAATAACATATATAAAATGCTTAGCATACTGCCTGGCTCATAAGTGCTTATCATGGATTGAACTGTGCCCCCTCAAAATATGTGTCAATTTGGTTATTCCATGATTCCCAGTATTGTGTGGTTGTCCTCCATTTTGTGATTTTCCCATGTGTTATAAATCATAATCTCTGCCTGTGATTAAAGAGGATTAGGGTGGGATGTAACATCCTAGCTCAGGTCACATCCCTGATGCAATGTAAAGGGAGTTTCCCTGGTGTGTGGCCTGTACCACCTTTTATCTTATAAGAGATAAAAGGAAAAGGAAGCAAGCAGAGAGCTGGGAACCTCATACTACCAAGAAAGCAGTGCCAGGAGCAGAGCGTGTCCTTTGGACCCAGGGCTCCTGTGCCAAGAAGCTCCTAGTCCAGGGAAGATTGATGACAAGGACCTTCCTCCAGAGCTGAGAAAGAAAGCCTTCCCCTGGAGCTGACACCCTGAATTTGGACTTTAGCCTACTACACCGTAAGAAAATAAACTTCTCTTTGTTAAAGTTATCTACTTGTGGTATTTCTGTTATAGCAGCACTAGATAACTAAGACAGTGTTCAATATATGTTGTTGTTGTCAGGTGCCGTTAGCTATAAGCATAAAATAATAAGAGCAAAATATAACTCTGTTATAGCAGCACTAGATAACTAAGCCAGTGCTCAATATATGTCACTGTTGTTACGTGCCATTAGCTATAAGCATAAAATAATAAGAGCAAAATGTAAGAAAAAAAGACTGTCCAGAAAATAGTGTTCTCAAATGAATTACCTCAAATAGAATTTATGATAATTATCCCTGATCATTCCTAAAAAAATGATAACCATTTTAAACCAAATAATACTTTAAAGGCAATTAAAGTAAGAAGGGTTTCCATTAAACATTTATGAAAAGGATACCAGCTTACAACCGGAATTCAATTATTTTTGTAGCTAATTCTCACTATTCATAGTACTTCTTTGCTAAAGGAGTCTTGTAAGATACATATTGCATTTAGGTAACAATATTTTGTACTGACAATTATAAATTCTGGGTAAAAGCTTCCAATAGTATGTGGAGTAAGGCATTTCACTAAACACACTGTATGTGAGACTATGACCAGAAAGTGAAGTCGTATCTATAAATTCTAAAATCACACTTCTTTTGACTAAATATTTGCTATTCTTAAAATTTAAGATGAATTGTTTAAATTGAATTTAGCTGAAGTTAAATGACCATATTTCATCAATTCTAAGAGGCGCTCCTCCTCAGACACTTTTTAACATCTCTGAAATAGGAGTAAGTTTTACAAAAAATAGTATCTTAGCAGTGTGTCATATTTAGTGTTTTTACTTCTTAGTGGGAGCCCTGGTGGTGCACTGGTTAAGCATTCGGCTGCTAACCAAAACGTCAGCAGTTCGAACCCACCAGCCACTCCTTGGAAACCCTAAGAGGTGGTTCTACTCTGTCCTACAGGGTCACTATGAGTCAGAATCGACTCAACAGCAATAGAATTTTTTTTATTTTTACTCCTTAGTGATACATAAAATAATGGTGAGTTTTACAATCAATGGCATTTTAGATTGGATAAAATTTAGTAAGCATATTTTTAATTAGTGATTCTTGGAATCACAGTAGTTTATACTGCTTACACCTCTATTTCTAAAGCCTTAAAATCAAAGTTAGATACCTTGCTTGATTTAATTAATTAATTAATGTTTTGATAAGAGTGAATCTGCACCATTCTGTTTTTTAAATTCTAGTACATGTATTAATATTATTATAAAACTATTTTAAGTAATTTACCTACCTGCAAGTAAAGGTGATCTCATTTCCATTACTCCTACTGAAGGGCCACTAATTGATCGAGGCTGTGGAGTCACTGGAGCTGGCAAATCCCCCATTAAAAATCCAGGTAAAAACTGAGCGTTAACTCCTGGCTTTGGAGAGGTAGGTGAACCCAGCATCATTGGTTCAGATCCTAAATGAGTCCAAAAAATAATAATAATAATAAAGGACTTTTCTGTTATAATAGCTAACAAAAAAATACAACAAACTGGCATAAATAATTTTTGAAAATTTAATCAAAGTTGTTAAATATTAGGAACCATACTTACATTTCTTATTGTAAAAACCAATAAAAATTATTTCTAGAAAAATGTAGAAGTTATCTTGTATTAACAACAGTAATATTTGACAACTGTTTTTATGTATATTATTTCATAGGTTTAAGAATCAGAGCTTATTTTTAAATTTAAAAAATAGTTTAATATCTTTAAAATAATAATAATGTAAACAGACTAACTTCTTTCCATTTCTGGGTCAGCTTCTACTATGAACCAACCAAAAACAAGGATAGGGTTAGTTATTTATACAAAGTAGACATAAATACAGTAAATCATTTTTTGTGATAAAAGTGTAATCACACATACACAGATTAAATAACTAAAGCAAAATAATAGTGATGACTAGTATCCTAACTCAGAAACATAATGGAAAGTGCATTTTTTGGATTGTTCTTTAAAATCATTAATTTTAAAAGTTACGAATAATGAATAAAAGTCTACCTAATATAAAATCATTCTAAAAAGAGAATTGATACCTCAAAATTATCAATTCAAAATTACTCTTCACAACTTACAGAGTACATATTATTATTCCCATTATTAAGATGAAGAAACTAAAATTCATTTTAATTTCAGTACAAAATAGCACAGTAAAGAAAATACAGGCTCTAGAGTCAAAGATTTGGATTCAAGTTCTCTCAACAAAATGAGCAAATTCATAGTACTCACTCACAGAGCTGTTATTAGAATTAAAATGAGAGAGCTAGTAAAGCACTTGACCTAGTACCTAATATACAGTAAGTACTCAACAAATATTAGTTATTCTTATTTTTCCAGTATCTTATAATAGCAAAAACTAAGTGATTCATGTATAAATGTACAATCTGCCATTTCTGTTTATGAAAATTTGGTTTTTCAACAGTGACAAGGCTGAATGAGATTTGCAGCAGTCAAAAATGTTATATGCTTCTTATAAACTGTTCTTTAACTTCTAAACAGCTTCAAAAATTTGTTTCTGGCTATCTAAAAGCTTTAAATCCTTTATTCTCTCTTATCTCTTATTACAGATCTAGATATTAACAATGCAAGTGTATAAAAGAAGAAAAAGGCAGAGTAATTCAGGAAAAGAATAAAGCAAATACTGAAGTACATTGTAATTCCTTTTTAAAGTGCTAGTTACTATGTTACTATTCATATTTCTAAAGAACATACACTAAAATCAAACCAAAAGTAGAAGCACAGATGATACTTAGGCTATTTTTAAAAATTCTGAACATATAATAAATACAAAGCTTTAGGTATCAACACCAACTAGCTTCACTCCTCCATCCCTCAAAAGAAAAAAAAAGGCAAATACAAGAATTAAGTCAAGAAAAGTTAGATATTTATATACTGACACAGTAGAAAGCACCAGAGTCAGGAGGACAAAACAGGTTCTTAATCCTGGCTGTTATTAGCCACCTCTCAAGGCTGAATTCCCCTGAAAGAGAAAGCTTAATCAATTTCTAAGGATCCTCCATGTCTTAAACTCTATTTCACAGTCTGTGCTCCTAAATGATTAAGTACTGTGTGTTACTCTAGCAGTTTGCTGAATTCCTAAAACTAAGAGAAGTAAACACTAGGTTTTAATATAACATTAGATGCTGGGAAAATGTTTATACCTTGCCTGGAATATCTGCAATATGTGGACTTGGAAGACTTAAAGTCAGCTATGTCAGATTTCTCCTCAGACAATAAACAGGGACAAGTTTTATTCACATTTATAACCTTAACAAATATGCACTCCAAAATATTTTTGTTGAAAAGAAAAAATAAAAAAGGTAACTTCTAATGATTAAGTTTCTGACCTCTCAAACACATAAAAAAACTTAACATCTGTACATAAGCTTAAAATGTAGCAGAGTACCTGTATTATTTAAGTTATGCATTTTGTTTTTATTTTTAGTTCACCTTCCTCTATTCTCAAAAGAAACATATTCCGAGCAAAATTTATGACAAGCATTACATGCACGTCAAACCTAAACAACTCATTCTACAAGATACGTATTGTGGTTGCTCTCTTTTCCAAACTCAAAAAGCGATGTAACAATTGTCAAGTAAGTCTCTGTGATATAGGTGGTTTATTTCCTGCTCTAAATTTTTAAACAGTTCTCACAAGTCACACAACTCAGCAGACAAAAAGGGACTCGACATCCTGTTAATTTGGTAGATTTTTCTCAACGACGACACATTTCAACAAAGCTCCCAATAAAAAATGTGGATGGATCAGAAAATTCACATTGTGAGTGATCACTGGAAAAGACTACCTACAACAGTAAGCGTCAAGATGAAGGCGGGAAAAATCGTGGCAACTACTGGCTTGCTATTAAGACCAATATTTCAATAATTACCATCACCTGATTGGTTAAATGTCGCACGATTCAAGGTTTCGTTAGTAACAGATTCCTTTTGCAAAGCCCAAAAGAGTCCTCCAAGTAAATAGGTTGAGGGAGGGAATCAAAACAGGAACTAGAAGCCTAGGTGACTAAGAAGCAGTCTACAGTAACCACGCATTCCAGGGCACCGCCCACCCACGTGTATGTGGGTCAGTACCTTTCACCGACACTTCCGGTAATCCGGAAACCCAGAACTGCGTCTTGGGTGCGGGGCAAGACTCAAGCATGTACCAGTCTGGTGCTGCAGCCATGCAGGGGCACAAAACCCGCTCAGTCACCACCCGACAGCCGTTTCCTCACCCTCCCCAGGGTCTGCAGCCGCCCGGAGACGCTTTGGAAGTGGCAGGGTAGCACTGCCTCGAGCAGGGGGCTGGCTAGAAACTCGGGGGACCCAGGGGCACCCCATCTGCGACTAAGGCTAGCAGAGAGCCTGAAGGCTACTGCCTTTCTTTCTTGCTAGCCCGCTTCCAAGGCCTGCGGCGAGGATCGTAGTGCCAGAGAGGAAAGGCAGTTTTTCACTCACCCAGTGTGGGTGCCTGGGGTTCCACAGCAAAGGCTGCCATCGCGGCGGCAACTACACTAACCCTTGAACGCTCCGATTTTCAAAAATGGCGGAAACTCTCCCTACGGGTAGGGACGTGCTAGTTTACGGGAGCGTAACTTCCGGACATGCGCTATATGTTTTAGTAGTAGGTGTCTGGGCCTCCGTTTTAGAACCGGGCAAATGTCTTTGCGCAGACTCTGCATCGCCTAGGAAAGGATTTCACAGGGATGATGGTGAACCTACGGTGGATACTGTATTGTAGTTCTGGGAACGCTTTTGCTCACGCTTTCAGCCTCCTGATTTGCTGGTACTCCAGGTTCCCGAAGCAGAAATTCTTTTCTTCACCGTTTTATAATTCGCATAGTTTATTCAGTGCTCTGTCACTTCTCAGCATTTCCCAGTAGCACGTGGAACAGTTGACGATGAAACTGTGCCTCTTTGGAATGTCTATACCTGGGTTTAGGCATCATGCTCAAAGCATATTTTCTACCATCTCTATGTCCTGTTTTTGTTTTTTATATTCTATAATACATATTATTTTATTACATTTACGCATTGACTCATATATGCTTTTATTACAGTAAACACCCGTGAACCCACCACACGGAGGAGCCCTATTTGTACCTTTTTATCCCCTACCATCCTCCCCCGACTTCACTACTTTTTTCTAGAGTATTTATATAGAGATCGCTCTCTCTCTTACACACACACACACACACACACACACACACACACACACACATTCGGTATGTGTCTAAAAATATGTTCAATTTTGCTCAGTAAATAACTTTACAAAAATGATGTACTACCTGTATATATTCTGGAATGCTCTCTGGTCTTCACCAAGCTCATGCTTCTCAAAATCCCCATATATTCTCGTTTGCCACTTTGTCAGGAACTTCCTAAAATCCCAATCCAGGAAGAGTTTTGTAATCGGAGAGTGGCAGTAACAATTCCAGCAATAAGTGGCAGGTTCTCAGAAATCAAATATTATAATCACTTACAGATTGAATTGACTTTTTTTTTTAACATGCCTCATAAAACGTGTAACACCCAAAGCAGTCTTCCCTTTCTAAAGGAGGAGGCAGAGTTTGTTTGCAGAACTAGTTGACAATATAAAAACTGATAGCATCCAGTGCTGTCATGGTTAGCAAAAGTGGCACTTTTCAAAGCTGTTCAGGAGGATAATTTGTCCAGATCTATTAAATATTTTTAATACTCCTATTCTTAGACCCAATGTATCAGTTTTCTATAACTACTGTAGCAAATTACCACAAACTTGATGGCTTAAAACAACACAAATTTATTGTCTTACAGTTCTGGAAGCCAGAAGATTGATATGAGTCTTATAGGGCTAAAATCAAGGTGTCAACAAGTGGTTTCTTCTGAAGGCTCCAGGGAAGAACCTATGTCCTTGCCTTTTCTAGCTTCTGAAGGCATCCTGTATTTTTTGGCTCACGGCCCCTTCCTTCATGTTCAAAGCCTGCAATGTAGCATTTTTGTGTCTCAGACTTCTTCCTCCTGCTCCTGTCATATGGCCATCTTCTTCTGCAGTTAAATCTCCCTCTCCCTCTATCTTTTAAAAAACATTTGTGGTTACATTCAGGGCCCACTCAGATAATCTAGGATAATCTCCCCATTTTGAAATCCATTTAAAGTGACTATGTTAATAATCACATCTGCAAAGTCCCTTTTGCCATATAAGGTAATACAGGTTCCAGAGATAAGGATGTGGATATCTTTGGGGGTCATTACTCAGCCTACCCCACCTAGCAATACACTTCTAGGAATTTACCTACAGCTATTCTGGCATGAGGAAGACAAAAAAAACAAATATTACCTATGTGTTTACATTGGATCCCTGGTGGTACAGTGGTTTAAGTGCTCGGTGGCTAAGCCAAAGGTAGGTGGTTTGAACCTACCAGCCAGTCTGTGGAAGAAGGATGTGACAGTCTTCCAGAAAGTTTACAGCCTTGAAAATCCTATGGGGCTGTTCTACTGTGTCCTATAGGGTTACTATGAGTCAGAATCAACTCAACAGCACCAGGTTTGGTTTGGTTGTTTACATATGTGTGTGTGCATGCATATGCATGCATGGGTGTATGTATGTGTGTGTATTGACAAAAAAAAATAGATGAATGCAATAATGAAAGAAGCAATTTGAAAACCAATATATATAGCATCATTTCATTTTAACAACAAAAAACGTATATTTGGGTACAAATGCATAGATACGTATATAGAGAGAGATGCTTGTCTAAATAAAAGAAGGAGTTGAAAAAGATTTACATCAAACAGTTAACAGGAAAGAGAAGTGGGAGAGGGAGTTGTAAGTTGGTTTGTAAGGTAGTTTACAAAGGGTCTTTCATTTATTTTATATAATTTTTTTAGTGGTTGATTACAGGTGTTATTTACTATTTTCTTTTTCACATTAAAAGTTTTTTTTGTTGTTGTTGTTGTTTTCTTTCAGAAGGTAAGTCATTTCCCTTTCCTCACTTGCATTTCTATCTTCTACCCTTTCAACTGGCTCTTTCCTATCAGGCTACACAGATACCCAGTCTGCCTTATCTTAAAAATCTCCCTAGATCCTCTTCCTCCTTCTAGCTATCGTGCCCTAATTTCTCTCACATTTCTTTTTTTTCAAGATGTCAGAGGAAGAGTCTACAGATTTTAGTAGGTGATCTGTTTCCCTATCTTCACCAGATCTTGTCTTTTAATTCATTACACCCTGGCACTTGTGTAAATCCTTTTCTGAAATGAAACTAGCTACCACAGCTATTTTTCTCCTAATTGCCAAATTAGGCCTGTCTTCTTGACATCTACAGTATTCAAAAGCTTTGACAGACTTTTCCTAAAAACAAATGTTTTCTATGTTTTGGATGATGATGCACTGTTTCTCTTCATTTCTTTCTGCTCCTTCCCTCGCTTTTCCAAACTTGATTCCATTTCTTTCTAATCTTGAAATACTATTGTTAATCACTTCCTTCCAAAACTCTTGATGAATTATCTCTGCAACTCATTTGCTATAAGATACTTGTTTTGTAAGTATTTTTTTGAGGGCAGGGACCATAACTTCTTCTTTTCTGTATTTCCACCATTTTTCAATAAATGTATGTTAGAAAAATGAGTTAACAAATTAATGACAAGCTCTAAATAAACACCGAAAGGAGGATAATTATCTGATATAATGTATTTGACGCTATTTTTTGCATGTTTTCAGATTTTTTAAATCATAAATTTGCACATTAATTCAATTGGAGGTTCTTATTATTTATAGAAACATGGAAATATTTCTATATGATAAAATGAAAAACTGTAGATCAGTTTTTTTTTTTTAATTGAGATTTTCATAACTTGGATTATCTTGAATGAACCCATTGCCATCAAGTCAATTCTGACTTATAGCAACACTATAGGACAGAGTAAAACTGCCCCATAGGGTTTCAAGGAGCAGCTGGTGGATTCAAACTGCCAACCTTTGGTTAGTATCTGAGCTTTCAGCCACTGCGCCACCAGGACTCCTATCTTGAATCAGAAACAATTATATGGAACAATTTTACTTTTTTATATTTCTTATTAAACTAAAATCTTTAGAAATATTATATGGTCACTATATTCTTCTTTACATAATTTTGATTATTTTAATTACAGCACCTGCCTTCCTACTTTCTATTCTGAACATGTTAAATAAAATATTGCATAAAGTGGAAAACCTGTTCCCTATTTCTATTCTGGATTCATAGTTCCCTCAATGCCCCTCTCCTAGGACGTAAGATTTCATCCAAGTGCTGTATTTGTAGGCCAGTGGTGTGCAGTAGTTAAGGTGCTTGTCTGCTAACCAAAAGGCTGGTAGTTCGAACCCACCAACTGCTCCCTGGGAGAAAGATGTGGCAGTCTGCTTCACAAAGATTACAGCCTTGGAAACCCTATGGGCAGTTCTACTTTGTCATATAGGGTTGCTATGAGTGAGAATGGACTAGAAGGCAATGGGTTTTTTTGTTTTTTTAGATGGGGAACTCTTTCTTCAAACAAAGTCTTGTGCAGATGATTAGTACATACACAGAAGTGTTTTGATTGTTAAATGGGGGGAGGGTTCAAACCTCACCACCTCAGAGCTCTTGCCTCCTGAACTGTCCTCTCCCTATCACACTCCCAGGTAAGTGAACCACTTGGGTAGAATACCTAGAGCTACAGGAAGCCCAACCTGAAAATTCATTGCTCTATATATTTCAACTTTCTTCTAAACTCAAAGGTCAGGAATATGTGAAATCTCAAAATTTATTCGTTTTCAATGAATTTGATATATCCAAAGCCAAACTGCGTGTGTCATATATACTGTCATGGATTGAATTGTGTCCCCCCAAAATGTGTGTCAACTTGGCTAGGCCATGATTCCCAGTATTGTGTGACTGTCTACCATTTTGTCATCTGATGTGATTTTCCAATGTGTTGTAAATTCTACCTCTATGATGTTAATGAGGTAGGATGAGAGGCAGTTTCGTTAATGAGGAAGGACTCATTCTACAAGATTTGGTTGTATCTTGAGTTAATCTCTTTTGAGATATAAAAGAGAGAAGTAAGCAGAGAGACGGGCACCTTATTACAACCAAGCAAGAAGCGCCAGGAGCATGTATGTCCTTTGGACCCGGGGTCGCTGTGCTGAGAAACTCCTAGACCAGAGGAAGAGTGGTAACAAGGACCTTCCCCCATAGCCAACAGAGAGGGAAAGCCTTCCCCTGGAGCTGGCACACTGAATTCGGACTTCTAGCCTCCTAGACTGTGAGAGAATAAATTTCTCTTTGTTAAAGCCATCCACTTGTGGTATTTCTTTTATAGCAACACTAGATAATGAAGACATATACTGATTATTCATCAACTTAAATATAAATAAATTCAACGTTGCTACTAAAAGTCCACTGTCAGTCTATTCTACAAAATACAAAGAATATTTAAAAATTGAAGCAAAGAGAAAAAGATATCCACCTTTAGTAAGACTTTAGTAATAGGATGGAGTTTGTCATCTTCAGAGAGCAAGGGGAGGGAGTGTCTTATGACTCACGTCCTCATCATCTTAGCCTCTGGCAGGTGGTATAGCATGGGCTTTTGGTTAAACTAGACTGTGATGTCACATAGAATGCACAGAGGAACCATGACTTCATAGGGCCCTGAGGACAAGTGACCTCCAAAAGAGTTTAAGTGTTTAAGATGTAGGGATCATCACCAGAAAAAATACAAATCCATTGGATGTTATTTGCATTATCTGACCTCTATAAATAATAATGAGCAAAACCATGTCTTTATAAATTTAAAAATAAACAATTGCATGTGGACATTTATGCATTTTTCTCATTTCATTGCTGTAAACAACTGGCAGAAAGGGGGCAGCCAAACAGCAAAAGCAACATCAGTTCAGCAGACTTGTAGATTGTTTTTTAATTAATTTAACGGTGACTTTTATCTGTTAGAAGTGAAAAAGTAACATCAAAACTTACATGCATTTCAAGTGTAATGCCATTTCCTAATCTATTTGACTATCAGGTAGGTTTAATCAGATATTTGCAAGTCTCTGGAAATTTATAGCAGGCAAAATGGACAACTTTGAAAAACAATGGAATTGATTTTAGAAAGATCTGTCTGTGATTTGCCTTAAAAATAATCTGGCAGGGGTAGGGGTGATGACTGGGGTTATTTTAAAGCAAGCAAAGCCACAAGTTGAAAATAGTAGATAGGTAATTCATTATGTTATTCCCTATAATTTTATGTATGTTTGACATTTTCCTAACATTTAAAAAAAAAAAAAAACAGTAAGACAATTCTGGAGTGTTCAAAAGTCATACATTCTTACCTTACATGAAAAATTAATAAAAAATTAAATCTTTCCTAACTTGATAATATCTTCATTTAGAGAGGTAGAATTTTGTTGAGGATAACCCTGGGTATACACCTTGACTTAAGCACCTAATAGTTATGTGAGTGTATGGCGTTAGGGGTGGCACCAGACTATATCTAAATAATCTCAATGTACTCATAGTTAAAATATTTAGTAGTTTAATCTGAGAGTAATTCAGCATATTCTCTTCACTTAAAGTACTAGGATGGTCCCTTGAATTTCTGCAGCCAATATATCCATAATAATGCCAATTATCTGATCTTGCTTTAGCCTTTTATTTCTTGAAGTGGCTACAGTAATAAATCTCCATAGACCTAAAATATACTCTAAAATATATAATTTTGCGTTTGTCCACAGATTTTTAACCCAAAATTTGTCAGCAAATTAGTATTAAGTCTTTTAAAAAAAACAAATAGCCTCAAAGAAATAGATATTAACAGGGAAAAATATTATATTTTTTATTATTTTTAATAAAACATATCAGCACCTAGAAATAATAGAGTACATTATAAATATGTATACAAAATAAATAAGTCAAAGCCTTATCTGAAATAGAAAAGTTTAACTGTAAGTTATTTTTAGACATATACTAATGGAAACAAACTATATATTTGTTGACTGTAATTATAATTGTATGTATTGCAAGAATGTAAAACTTTAAAACCTTTAGGCTTAAATTACTAAATAACTACACAGGGACCAAATATATTCAAGATCCTTCGGGGAGAAAAATCAAATACTTAAGAGTCACCTAGCAAAATCAAATATCATCATGCTACATTTCTGTTATTTTAAAACATACTGTAGGTCTGCTTATAAAGGTATTAATTTATTGAGTTAATCCACTGGACAAGGGTATAAGACAATGTTCTGATACATATCTGCTACATTCAAGAATATCTGGTGAAATTAGATTTGAGAGGGTCCCTCTACGTACATTAGAAAATTTGAGTCACTAACATTTACGTTGCCATATTTAGAAAGTTTTCCCACCAGCACTGAAATGATCAGTCAGAAACAAAGTACATTCCTCAGGTTTACAAAAATTCTCAAATCCCTATATTCCTACATTTCAATCAATGTCCAATAGGGAAGGATGGAAGAAAAAGTGAAATTGCAATAAATTGTACATTTCCCCTGAAATCTTGTGCTTTGAGTTAATATATTATCTAAATTTTGCCTTAAAAATCTAAGAAAAAGATATGTTGGATATTCCAAAAATCTGTTTCTTGGGTTTTCAATTCAAATTATATGTAATTGAGTGACTGTAATAAAGCATAAAACAAGTTATTAAAACATTTAAAAATTACTAATCTCAAATAAATAGAATTTTATCATATGATCCAATGACTTTGTTCTATTCATCTTTTTCAGGTTGCTGTGAAGGCTCTATAGTATTTCTTTTCAATGTTAAAAAAAAAATGATATTTTCATTTCCCTTTTCTTTTAAAAAGTGGTAAAAATTTTATATTTAACAATAAATAGAGGCACAAACTCCTTGGAATGTTTTCTTCCTCTTCCTCAAAACAGACCTATATTTTGTTTACATGGGTTTTTAAAATTCATAATATGTGAGATACAGGATCATAATACTAAAGTTCCTTTTAAAAAATAGGTATGACAGTGTGACTTGTTTCCATGGGAAGTTATGTATAAAATAAATGGTATATGCCTTACATACTACTCTTTACATATGCACCTATCAGTGCCTTCCATAGTATTCCTATTTTAAAAGACTAAAATTACATTCATTGATCCGTTTTAGGTGCAGGAAAGTACTATCATTTGAGATTAAAATAAACGTGATGCTCAAAGCACTTCTGAAGATGATATAGAGGATACGTGTCTGAATGATAACCAGATTACTACAGGCAACAAGCGTACATACAAGAGACATAATATACTATCCATTATGAGCTGCTTTTCAAAGCTTCATGTCACATTTAATGGCTAGAAACTAAACAGCATCTAGGAAAATAAAATGTATTTACATGAATTCTATTGCATGAATGGAGAAGGCTCATCCAGCAAACCTTCAGTAATACTGATCATACAGACAACATTATACCTCAGTCTTGTAAATAAGAGAATTTAGCCTGTCTTGGTCAGCCTGAAACAGTTCTCTGTGGGTTGATAACATTTATGCTGCTTCTCAAGAGAAGCAAAGTGTTCATAGTTTTGTGTATGATGGCATCTTTTCAGGCTATAAGCAATTTCAAAACATAACTTGCATTTATCATTTCTACTATTTACTCCTGATGGCATAAGAAAGACTGCCTTTTAAAATGCACAGATGTGCTCAATGTACATTTTTTAACTTTCTGTATAATATGCTTGCTCTATATAATGTGTATGTAAGAAGAACTCAAAATTTTTTTAATATAAAATCTAGATGATACTTTCTAAGTCATGAGAGGATATTTGAAAACTATTAAATAAATTTTATCTCAATTACTATAATTCAAAGCATATCTTTAAGCAAATTTATAATATTCTGAGTTCAGTCTTGCCACTATGGAGACATTAAAGCAAACAAATAGACAAGCAACAAACAAAATCTATTCAAAGTCTCTAGCCAGAGATGGAACTGTAAATGGTTTTAACCTTCCTAAACACTTAATTGGAGCACTGGTGATGCAGTGGTTAAGAGCTCGGCTGCTAACCAAAAGGTCAGCAGTTTGAATCCATCAGCCACTCCTTGGAAACCCTATGGGGACGTTCTACTCTGTCCTGTAGGGTCGCTATGAGTTGGAATTGGCTCGACAGCAATGAGTTTGGTTTTTCGTTTAAACGATTAAAATTTCTTACAAAACCATAACGCTTCTTTCCTTAAAAAAAAAAAAAAAAAGTTCTCTAATAGAGAAGAGTAGTAAACTAGAAAACAGATCTTTTAATTCTTTGATTGAACAAATCACATCTAAACAATGATCTTTCGGTATAAAACCTTTTCCCACAGATCCAAGAACAAAATATTACAACGTGAGATCCAAAAACAGGGTGTAAAGTACCTGGTGGGGGGGGGGGAATCACACAGTGTAAGAGATTAGGCCACCTAATTAAAGAAACATAAGCTCACGATTATGTGAGAAAGCATCTATAAGAACATTTTTAAAAAGGAGGGGAAGGAGGTAATAGAATTAAATTTAAAAATTAAAATGAAAAGTGGATACATTTTTATAAGAGGACATAAACATTTTGTGATTATAACCATTATATAAACATTGCGTAAACCTTCAGATTCAGGTTACTTCTTTTGAGAGGTTTAAGCTATTCATTTTAATCATGAAAAGATTCTTTACAAAATATTTACTTCCCTCTGAAATAGTAAATCAAGCAGCACTTCAGATTTCTCCTTCATGAAAACAGTTGCTGGAATAGAAAAATTCAAAGAGACTTCATCAACTGATTTATTCTTTCCATGCTCTAATATAGATTTCAAATCTAAACCTTTTTTTCCTACAGAAATCAATGATGGCTAATATCCTGTTTTTTTCCCTTAGCAATTCAAAGCAGCATTTAATCAGACATTGTAACATTAAAGAAAAAAATATAATTAAAAAAATTCATTTATACAGTAGATCTTTAAAAAGCAAGAAAAATGGGAGTGTTTACAGGTTTATGCTCCAAAAAAAAAAGGAAAAAGGTAGCTATAGAGGCCAACTCAGAAATTAGTTACCCATCATCTGCTAAATATAACTCATGAACTGTTGTCATCTTTTAATTCTTATATTTTGTCACACTTATTTCTTTCTTTGCCCTCTTGATATGTACGAAGCTGTTCCATGAAGCCAGCATTTGGACACATGGAAGGCCTTGCATTTTTGACCAAAGAAAATGCACTGGTAAATGAGATTTCTTCAGAATTCATCAGGAAGCCAATTACAATTGCAGCAGCTCTGGAAACTCCTGCATTACAATGAACAAGAACCACTCCATCCTGCAATAAAAATCAAACAAAAATCTTCATTATTCATTTGAGAAAGGTTATGAAGTCAATTGAGCATAGTCATACTACTTAATTTTTAAAAATAAATTCAGCAAATCTTAGATTATCAAAATACAATTCAATGCAAGCAATGAACAAAAAAATCAATCAATCAATCAATCAACCTCTCTCTCCCCACACCCTTTTCCCCCAGGATTGAAATGCCTTCCTGATATGTTTTGAATTCTGAAACAAGTATCTTTTATTAAACTAGAGTAATGCACTTAAGTACACTAAACACCTAGTAACTTATTAGCCACATGTATATAAATAAGGGGGAAAATCATAAGGAATATATATGGAAATGTAAATAAAATCATAATCACAAACTTAACAGAAAGCCAAAACATTCCAGGTAGATACTGTTCCTATTAAAACAAAGAAACAAACAAGTGTCACTTGTTTGGTAATCTATGTATCAAACAATCAGCTAGGAAAAAAAAGTTCCACTCTTTGCTATATTTTGTTCTGAAGGGAAATAACTCAAAAAATATTTAAACTTTCGAGGTAGTAAAATGATGGCACAAATAGTACATAACAATGTGAAGTGGAAAAGGTAATCAGATACCAGAATGAGGTCAATAACTGAAAAACGTTTCAGGTAACTCGCAAATGATACTGTACAAGTGAAAAGGGACACAGTGCAAGACCAATGCTGATGGGGGCAATATTGCATTAATCATGAATGTGATCTGATGGAACAGTGCTGATACCGGCTGGCCTATCTCAGGCTTTTAAAAACATTAATGATCTGAATGCAATGTATCGAACTGTAACCACTCCCTACAGTATTAGACAATTAGTTACTTTATTTCTGATTCTTCCCTTGGCACAACACAAAGGAAAGGTGGGAACAAGGGAAGGGGGAAAAAAAGGTACTACTGAAAACTCTCTACCCAAAGCATAAATTAACAATACTGGATTATTTTACCTTTGGAAGGCAGTTTTCTCAGATTCATTAATCTGTTGCAAAAGTCCTTCCCTAGATCTGTTATAACAAATTTGCAAGTGTATCTCTTTACAAGAAAGCCAAATAATTAATAACAAAATTAGTTAATATTTTGAAAATCCTCATATCAAAAAGAATTTTATTTTCCTATAGATATTATTACTCATTTCCAAATTTTAACTATTTCTGTAAAAGAAAACTAAAACACATATTCACTGCATACAAATGGGATTTTTCTTGCTTTGTAACAATAGCTTATTTTTATGAGAATTTTGACTTCTATTTATGAGAATAAAATATTCTACGAGACTTCTACTTTATGAGAATTTTGTTCTGCATTTCTGAGAGGAAAGCATTCTCTCAAAAATTCAAGTCACTATTTTGTTACGGAGTAGATAGTAGTTACATTATGGTATTTCCACTTTATAGAGTTTGCTTTGTTCTCATGCTGTTAAGAATAGTTTTCAACTAGAATACAAGCTTCTTGAGGGTAGCAATATGTATCTCTCACATCTCAGAATAACTAACATTTGTTGACAGATTAACTGAGCAAAATTCAGGTCTTCATCCTTACACGTAACTTCCCAATACAACTTGGGCGTGATGTGGTCTGAAAGTTGCCTGATAGCAGTCTATGAGGAACTTGTGGTGGAATGAAAATCAACAATGTACTAAATACACAATTTAGTTCCTCTGACACTTCCTTTTGTAGCCAGAATCTCTTGGTGAATGAAACAATGTCTTCATTTATATTTGGGCATTAGCTCCTTATCTTGCTGAGGACTGGTAGCAAACTAGACCATACTGAATAGCACAGCTCAAAACAGTCCACTCATTACTATGCACACTAGCAGAGAGTAATATTAACATAGCAATTACAAAACAGTGGTAACATTTTTTTTGTAATTTTCTTTTTTACTGTGATTTAGGTGAAAGTTTATATAGCAAATTAGTGTCTCATTAAACAGTTAATACACAAATTGTTCTGTGACATTGGTTGCTAACCCCACGATGTGTCCACCCTCTCATCTTCTCTACCCCAGGTTCTCTGTTTCCATTCGTACAGTTTTCCTGTCCCTTCCTGCCTTTTCATCTTTGCTTTCGGGCTGGTGTGCCCATTACTCTCGTACCCATGACTGAACTATGAAGCACATCCCGCATGTGTGTCATTGTTGGCCCTATACCGATTGCCGCTGAGTTGATTCCGACTCGTAGCGACCCTACAGGACAGAGTAGAACTGCCCCATAGAGTTTCTAAGGAGAGCCTGGTGGATTTGAACTGCCGACCTTTTGGTTAGCAGCTGTAGCTCTTAACCACTACACCACCAGGGACCTGTCTAATCTTTGGCTGAAGGGTGAAAACTCAGGAGTGACTTCAGTACTGAATTAAAAGCATGTCCGGGGACCACACTCTTGGGGTTTCTCCAGTCTTTGTCAGATCAGCAAGCCTGGTCTTTTTTTTGTGTGTGTGTGAATTTGAATTTTGTTCTATATTTATCTCTAGCTCTGTCTGGGACGCTGTATTGTGATCCCTGCCAGAGCAGTCAGTGGTGAGTACCATTTTTGAAGCAAAGTGGAAAAAAATTCTAAAAACTTAGGTGGTGAATGAGGTATTTATTTAGAGCATAATGTTTCCCTAATGAAATTTTACTTGTATTGAACAAAAATTGGAAATAGCTGACATGTCTTGTAATAGGCAATAACTAGAATACTAAGCAAAGGTTCAGTGATTTGATATTACTATGTATGAAAATGCCAAAAAAGAGTATGAATTGTATAATACTACTTTATTAAATACATATATATTATCATATATACAAATAAATGAAATGAATAAATAATAAAGGTCTGGAAAATATATCAAAATGCTAACAGTGGTTATGTCTAGCTGGTGGGAACAGGTGTAATACTAATTTTTACTTATCTGTATTTTCCAATTTTTCTGCAATGAACATGGATTATTTACATAAAAATGTTAAATCACATCTTATAAAGTAAATAATAAAGCAAACATGGAATATCAAACACATGTTTCCATACTAACAAAACACTTTTCCCATAAAAAAAGGGGCCAAGTAAATTTTCATTCCCAAAAGAACTCCTGAGGCTATAGAGGTTACCATCACTACTTCCCTCTCATGTGTATTTCTATCCCTTCAGACACAAACCTGACAAAATGACATATGAGGTGGAGATAGTAGAAGAGTGGAGAAAGCAAACAGAGTAGAGAAGGTACAGAAGAGAAATGAGGAATGATATAGCAAAACTGAAATCTATTTGACAGCTATATGTAAAAAGATGAAAACAACAAACTGAAATTTAGAAAGGTAGTTCTGAAACAAGCAATTCACTGAGCAACTGAGATTCAACAATACTTGTATACACAATAGACAAAGTCATGAAGACACCTCTTCCAGAAAAATCAATGAAGAAAATTCAAGACTTCTATTGCTAAAACTAAATAAGTATTAATGTAAATAATAAAGAGTTTTCAAGGTGAGGCAATATTGGTTGATCTTAGGATGCCAGTATAAAATTAGAAAATATTGTAGAATTGAGAAATTAGAAAATATTGTAGAATTCTAATACATTTTTTAGAAGACACATCTTACGTACTTTCTCAGATTCTCTTTTTTTAAAAAAATTTTTTTTTATTGTACTTTAGGAGAAGGTTTACAAAACAAATAGTTTCTCATTGAACAGTCAATACACATATTGTTTTATGATATTGGTTAACAACCCCACGACATGTCAACACTCTCCCTTCTCGAACTTGAGGACTTTTTTTTTTTGGTGAAAATATACATAGCCAAATATACACCATTTCAAAAATTTCTACATGTACAATTCAGTGACGTCAATTATGTTCTTCCAGTTTTGCTGCTATTATCACTTTAGATGAAGGTTTACAGAACAAAACAGTTTCTCATTAAACAGTTAGTACACATATGGCCCTATGACAATGGTTAACAACCCCACTACATGTCAACACTGTCCTTACTCAACTTTGGGTTCCCTATCACCAGCTTTCCTGTCCCCTTCTGCCTTCTAGCCCTTGTCCCTGGACTGCTGTGTCTCATTAGTTCCATTTTGTTTTATGGGGCTGTCCAATCCCCAGCTGAACTCTCAAATTCTCTTGGTGCCATCATTTCATGAACTCTCATGTTGTTCTACCTCACCCACCACTTCTGTAGCCAACTGACTCTCTTAGGCCCATTCAGTTTTGCTTGCCTGGGAAGGCCTGGCTCTTCCTATGTGGCAGCTACTGCATAGACAGGCACACCCTGAGTTCTGGTTTCTGTTGCTGCTTCTGAACTTGAATGAAAAGTCACACCACAGAACACTGGACTTGGCTTCCAAGTGGCTGCTGGAGGAGCAGAATGTCACAACCTGGAAGTATGGGGTTAGTTATCTTCCCACAGGTAAACTGACCAATGGAAAACAGGAACTGACAGAAAGCCAGGAAATAAATTCCCTTTCTACTTCCCTTCACAAAGTCTGTATTGAGGTACAGTTTCTTTTTATTTATCTGGAGATATTTTGGGGTGGTACAGCAAGCGTATCTACTGAACGACCAGCTGTTTCTCCGTCAGCTCATTGTGAAGTTGTGCTCAGCTGGGTAAACATATCACCTTGCATTGCTTCTCATGCTTCCCTGAATCACTTCCCTCTTCTCTCACTCTCATTACCTAGGGATTGTACCTCTCAAATTCAGCATTAGCTCTTAATCCTTGTCTCAGGCTCTGTTTTTTAAGGAATCTAAGCTAAGATACATTTTATTTAACTATTTGGCCCAAATTAAGGCATACTTTCCTATTTAATAATAAAGAAAACACCAAAAGTTTATTAGAATACTTAATTTATTGCTCTTCTTTCCAGATACTATTCTCTCTCCAATTTTTACTTGCAACATGTACACTTGACCACCTAAGGCATAATCTACATCTTCTTATAGAAACAGCTAATACAGAGACAATCATTTTTATTTTTTAACACTATTAACTGGCACAATGAAATGTTGCAAGCTAGAGCCTACAAACATTTTCACAAGGGAATGGAGTGACCAATATTAGGCTTTGAATATGAAAACCTCTTCCTTTACTTCCATCAAAATATCTGCTATTGAATAAAATTGGTGAACACAGAGTTGAATCATTTTATATTTTTCAGGTAACCTAGTAGGAAGGCAACACAACAGTCCTGAACACGTAAGGAACTCAATAAATATTACCAAATGAAAGAAAAGAAGAAAGAGACAGAGGGAGGAAAGGGAATTCTATTTCTAAATTCTAATCCTGACCATAATTAATTGTTACTTCTCTATGTAAGTTACTTCTCTCTGCAAAAACTACTTCTTCACTTTGTAAGTCCTTCTATTTTCCCATCTATGTATCTCATATAAATTTTTTAAGAATTACATACTGACTAAAATGATACCATTTCAAGGTATAGTTATTGAAAATAGCCAGCCTAGGAGCCCTGCCTGTCAGAGTACTGACTTGGATCCAATACCAAGACTTAAAGTGTTATATTGTTTGTTGGTCTTCAAGAGTCAGAGAACCAATGCGCAGCTTTTGATCATCATTTTCATATAATCTTAGCAAAGCAATACATATCCAGTCCTTAGAGTGTCCTAAATTTCTATTGTTAAAATTGCATAGACCACTGAGCTTCTGTCAAGAGTGACAGAAAAATTCTAGAACAGTTAATGGTGATGGTTTAACAACATGATGAATATAATTATGTCACTGAATTGTACATGTGAAGATTGTAGAAATGGCAAACATTTTGTTAGCTATATATTTACCACAATTAAAAAAAGAAGAACTGGCCTGTAGGGGAGAAAGAGATTCATTTCATTAAAAATATTTATCTCAGAGTCAAAAAACAAAAAAAACTGTATACAGTCATGATCCCTATCTCAAGTCACTAAAATGAATGCATATTAATCTTCATAAATATACTAACAGGACTAGAGTAGTCTCATTTGAGGAATAAGGTGAACCTGACCCAAGCCATGGTATTTTCAATAGCCTCATATGCATGCAAAAGCTGGCAATTAATAAGGGAAGACCAAAGAAGAATTGATGCATCCACCTTATGAACACTGAACATACCAATATTGAACATATTGAATATTGAACATACCATGGACTGCCAGGACAAACAAATCTTTCTTTGAAGAAGTACAGCCAGAATGCTCCTTAGAACCAAGGATGGAGAGACTTTGTCTCACTTACTTTGGACATGTTATCAGGAGGGACCAATCCCTGGAGAAGGCATCATGCTTGGTAAAGTAAAGGGTCAGCAAAAAGAGAAAGACCCTCAGCGAGATGAAATGACACAGTGGCTGCAATAATGGGCTCAAGCATAGCAATGATTGTGAGGAGGGCGCAGGACCAGGTAAAGTTTTGTTCTGTTATATATGAGGTTGCTGTGAGTCAGCACCTATCAAAGACAACATGAGTCAGAACTGACTCCAGGGCACTTAACAACAACATTCCCATAGACCACCTGATTATCTTGCAAATTGGTCTGAGAGCAGTTGGTTGTAAACTGTCAAAGGAAATTTAACCACATATGTATACAGAAAAATTCAGTGAGATTTTTTTCTTCTAACATTTCTCAGTAAGGCATAGCAAAATGAGCAACAGAACTGTAAAAAGTAAGTATCTCATTAGAAAAAGTGCAATAGGAGAACTAAATAATCATAAGGATGAATAAAATATTGTTGGAAGGGAAATTTCATAATGTTTCTTACAAGATTCATTACAAAAGACTAAAGACTGAGTAATGGACCCATACATTTAAATTTCTAGTTTTGAAGAAATGTGGATTGAAATAAAACTTACCTTCATTTTTGCTTGTTCAATAAATTCAAAGCATTCTGGAAAATAAGATAGGAGATTGGTTTCTGGCAGATCCAGTACAGAAATGCTCTTGTATGTAAAGTCACTGAGGAAAGCATTTTCGACTCCACATGCAACATTGAGAATATGAGTCACCTTAAAGAAAAAAAAAATACGATTTTTTTAAAAACCCTGTGAATTAGATTATGTGAAAAGAGATTGGGATGTTGAGATTTGTATCAGGAATAAAAAAATTAAGAATGACCCTGTCTTAGTTATCTAGTGCTGCTATAACAGAAATACCACAAGTGGGTGGCTTTAACAAAGAGAAATCTATTTTCTCACAGTCTAGTAGGCATCAACTCCAGGGGAAGGCTTTCTCTGTTGGCTCTGGAGGAAGGTCTTTGTTGTCAATCTTCCCCTGGACCAGGAGCTTCTCCGCGCAGGAACCCCAGGTCCAAAGGATGAGCTCCGCTCCCGGCACTGCTTTCTTGGTGGTATGAAGTTCCCCAGCTCTCTGCTTGCTTCCCTTTCCTTTTATCTCTTGTAAGATAAAAGGTGGTGCAGGCCACACCCTAGGGAAACTCTCTTTACATTGGATCAGGGATGTGACCTTAGTAAGGGTATTACAATCCCACCCTAATCCTCTTTAACACAAAATTACAATCACAAAATGAAAGACAACCACACAATACTGGGAATCATGGCCCAACCAAATTGATACACACATTTTTGGGGGGGTCACAATTCAATCATGACAGACTCATTTGAATATTTCCTTCAGGAAGCCTCTCTGACTGCCTCTACCCTCATAAGAGTAAGTGCTCCTTGTATGTACTCTCACAGCACCCTATACATGCTCTACAGCCCTTAACACTTAGAGATTGTTTGTCTCCATCACTGTACAAGAAACTCTAAGGACAAGTAAGGACCATGTTTAGCTTGTTCACCATTTTAAGAAAGCATAGAAAGTGCTTAAAGTATTTGTTGCATACATCAGTGAATGTCCACATAAAAACTGAAGTAGGGGAAGTGCATCAGTGGCAAAAAAAAAAAACAAAAAACTTCCCTTTCTATAATTATTTCCTCATTCTCCTTCACATTCTTTTTTTTTTTTCTTTGCCTTTAAAGAACAGGGATCTACTGTCTTAAAGTTTTAGAGGCTATGTGTCCTAATTCAGGGCACCAGCAGGTCTAGATCCTTGTCTCTTTACACTTCTCTAGCTCTGAGCACTTCTTGGTAGTCCCTGGCTGCTTGTAGATGTGTCTTCCCACAGGGCTTGTCTTTCCCTGCGTGCACGTGCATGTGTCTTTTCTGCTTTTTTTATAAGACACCACTCAGAAGGGATTAGGTTTAGGACAGGCTCTACTTCAGTATGACCTCATTAACATAACAAAAGAAAACTCCTACTTCCAAACAGGGTCCTATTTACTGGACTTCAACATAACCTTTTGAAGGACAAAATTCAACCCGTAACATTATGCAATGGCATAGAAAACCCAAGTAACATCAGCTTTTATCTTATATAACAAGAAGTCCAGGGCTGGCGTGGTACCTCAACAGCATCCGTATGGACTTAGGATTCTCCCATCTTCTGAGCTATCATCTCAACATTTATAACCTTTGTCCTCATGCTTCTCACTTTATGGTCACAAAATCGCTGCTGAACTTCCAGACATTGTGATCACATCCCAGAAAGGAAAACAACAAAGGGGGAAGCATGAGGGAATGACATCTGTAACAGGCAAGCAGAAGCTTTCCCTGAAACCCTCAGCTTACATTTTTTTTTATTGTACTTTAAAGGAAAGTTTACAGAGCAAATTAGTTTCTCGTTAAACAATTAATACACATATTGTTTTATGACTGTCTTAGTCATCTAGTGCTGCTATAACAGAATACCACAAGTGGATGGCTTTAACAAAGAGAAACTTTTTTCTTCACAGTAAAGTAGGCTAAAAGTCCAAATTCAGGGTGTCAGGTCCAGGGGAAGGCTTTCTCTCTCTGTTGGCCTTCTCATTAATGTTCCCCTAGACTAGAAGCTTCTCCGTGCAGGGACCCTGGGTCTAAAAGACACGCTCTGCTCCTGGCACTGCTTTCTTGGTGGTATGAGGTCCCCCTGTCTCTCTGCTCACTTCTCTCTTTTATTATCTCAAGAGATTGCCTCAGGACACAATCCCGTCTTGTAGATTGAATCCTCCCTCATTAACATCATAGAGGCAGAATTTACAACATACAGGAAAATCCAAAGTACTGGGAATTATGGCCCAGCCAAACTGATACACACATTTTTTGGGGGACAAAATTCAATCCATGACAATGACATTGGTTTCTGGCCCCACAACATGTCAGTACTCTCCCCTTCTTGATCTTGGGTTCCCCATTACCAGCTTTCCTGTCCCTTCCTGCCTTCTAGTCCTTGCCCCTGGGCTGCTGTGCTCATTTAGCCTCCTTTTGTTTTATGGGCCTGTCTATCTAATCTTTGGCTGATGGGTGAACCTCAGGAGTGATTTCAGTACTCAGTTAAAAGGGTGTCCAGGAGCCATATTCTTGGGGTTTCTCCAGTCTCTGTCAGACCAGTAAGTCTGGTCTTCTTTTGCAAGTTAGACTTTTGTTCTACATTTTTCTCCAGCTCTGTCTGGAACCCTCTATTGTGATCCCTGTCAGAGCAGTTGGTGGTAGTAGCCAGACATCATCTAGTTGTGCTAGACTCAGTCTAGTGGAGGCTGTGGTAGTTGTGGTCCATCAGTCCTCTGGACTAATCCTTCCCTTGTGTCTTCAGTTTTCTTCATTCTCCCTTGCTTCAGACAGAGTGGGACCAGTAGAGTATCTTAGATGGCCACTCACAAGCTTTTAAGACCCCAGACACTACTCTCCAGAGTAGGATATAGAACATTTTCTTTATAAACTATGTTATACCAATTGAGCTAGATGTCCCCCGAGACCATGGTCCCCAGACATCAGCCCAGTAATTCAGTCCCTCAGGGAGTTCGGATGTGTCTGTGAAACTTCTATGACTTTGCCCTGGTCAAGTTGTGCTGACTTCCCCAGTATTGTGTACTGTCTTACCCTTCACCAAAGTTATCACTTATCTATTGTCTACTTAGTGTTTTTTCCTCCCCACTCCTCTCCTCCCCAGTAACCATCAAAGATTGTTTCTGTGTGTAAACCTTTCCATGAGTTTTTATGATAGTGGTCTCATTCAGTATTTGTCCTTTCATGATTGATTTATCTCACTCAGCATAATGCCCTCCAGATTCATCCATGTTGTGAGATGATTCGGAGATTCATCACTGTTCTTTATTGCTGCACAGTATTCCACCGTGTGTATGTACCATAGTTTGTTTATCCATTCATCTGTTGATGGGTACTTACATTGTTTCCATCTTTTTGCTATGGTGAATAATACTGCAATGAACACGGGTGTGCATATGTCTATTCATGATGGCTCTTGTTTCTCCAGGATATATTCCTAGCAGTGGGATAGCTGAATCATATGATATTTCTATTTCTAGCTTTTTAAGGAAGTGTCATATCATTTTCTAAAATAGTTGTACCATTTTACATTCCCACCAGCAGTGCATAAGAGTTCCAAGCTCCTGGCAGTCTCTCCAACATTTGTTATTTTCTGCTTTTTTGATTTGTGCCAGTAATGTTGGGGTGAGATGGCATCACATTGTAGTTTTGATTTGCATTTCTCTGATGGTTAGTGATCGCGAGCATTTCCTCATGTGTCTGTTAGCCACCTGAATGACTTCTTTGGTGAAGTATCTGTTCATATCTTTACCCATGTTTTAACTGGATTATTTGTCTTTATGTTGTAGAGGAGTTGGATTCCTTCACATTCTTTACTAGTGCAATGGTTCTCAAGTGTGGCTGCACATTAGAATCACCTGGTGAGATTTTTAAAAATATCAATGCCAAGGTCTCATTCTCAGAATTTTGATGATTTAGTCTGGTTGAAAAGCATGGGGGAGATGTCATGAAGAACCTCTCAGATGATCCTCAAATTACGCCACATAAGTAACCTTCTACACTATCTGTGCATTTCAGCGCTTTTCCTAGATTCCATCAAGCATGTGGAATGAGGTATATCGAAAGTTCATAAACAGACTCCAAAGGCTAAATGGATAAGAAAAATGAGTCACTGCTTCTGGTCATGACAAAGCTTCTTACTGTATTTATTCTCATTTCTTAGAGTGATTCTTAGGTTTTGCCTAACCTCAGTATTTTTATGTATTTTCAAATATATTTTAGAGTATTTGTCCAGCCCTACCTCACCTGCCCCCACCACCCTCAGAGGTTTGGTTTTGGCAGCATAGCTCCTCCCAGCATAGCTGACTGGATTCCAGCCGGTGCCTGACTTAAGCTAGGTCAATCAAGTTATGTTTGAGGATCTTAAAAATATGTCTAAAAGACAGCTAGAATGATGCATAAACTTGGGAGCTATAGGGAAGCCATGTTTTATTATGTGCTCAGAGAAGCTGACAAATGCATGCTGCCAAGAGAGAAGAATGGAGTAGATGTACAGAGAGAAGCTGCGGTACCAGTGGGAAAGAGGGGCTGTTCTGGATAGCTTTCCAATCTCTGGCTCCAGTCCCTGGTGAGGCATGGCCATACTCCCTGCCCCTGGGTTCCTGGGATCACCTTGTATCATTATAGCACATTTTCTTTCCTCGCCCAGGTAGCTCAAGTGGTTTCTGTGGCTCACAACCAAGAGCACTGAGTAACACACTGAGAGAGTCATCAGCCAACTATGAGCCTAACTACCTTGTGGAAGGAAGACAACAGAAAAAAACTCAAATGTCTACTCAGGAGAAACTATTAAAAAGAGAGGAGATAGGAAAAAATAAAAAGAAGAAAAAAACATTTCTAGAAGATAAAGTCTGATCTATCCTTCCACTTTCCTTAATGAAGTCTTATCTGGCAGTGTCAAGTCACTCACTCCTGGTGCATTCCTGGCCAGATGATATTATTCTGCCCTTAATTACATATTATCTTCCAATATTTTATAGTTGTCTTAGGCTGGGTTCTCTAGAGAAGCAAAACCAGTAAAGTGTATAAATATATATACAGAGAGATTTATATCAAGGAAATAGCTCGTGTGATTGTGGAGGCCAGAACATCCCACATCCATGGATCAGGGTAGAGGCCTCTCCCAATTCACGGAGCCGGAGAAGCTGGCGAGCCCAAGATCAGCAGGTTGGAGAGCAGGGCTCCTGTTCACAGGTTGAAGAATTCCAAGACTGGCAGGCAAGACCACAGGGCTTCTCTGGATTCACGTAGCTGCAGGGGCTAGTGAACCCAAGATCAGCAGGTCAGAGAGCAGGTCTCCACCCACAGGCTGTGAAGATCGACGAATCCCAAGTTCGGCAGATGAGCTGGCAGCTCAAGTCCCAAGAACTGGAGGTGAGATGACAGGAGGCAGCCGCAGGATCCAGAGTGAGCAAAAAGCCAGAATGTCTGCTTATATTCAGATGCAGGCCACATCCCCAAGAACACTCCGTTTCATCTGATTGGCTACTCACAACATATTCAATCATGGGAGTGATCTCATATAAACACTGAGAATCATGGCCCAGCCAAGCTGACACAGAATCTTAACCATCACAATAGTATGTATGTATCTGCCTTGTCTTCACAACTGTATTCTATGTTCCAAAATGCCAGTGATGAAGTCTTACAACTTACAGAATTTTTATATATATCCTTCCCCTCTATAAGGAGCACTGGTGGCACAGTGGTTAAGCGCTCAGCTGCTAACCAAAAGGTTGGCAGTTCAAACCCACCAGTGGCTCTGCTGCAGAAAGATGTGGCAGTCTGCTTCCATAAAGATTACAGCCTTGGAAACCCTATGGGGGCAGTTCTACTCTGTTCTATAGGGTTGCTATGAGTCAGAATCGACTAGACAGCAACAGGGGTTTTTTGCCCTATATCTCTTCCCTACATATCACAGGATTATGAAGAAGACCAGATGAGAATTTGGTAAAAGTGCTTTATAAATATTGGGGATTATTAAACTACCCAATCTCTGTGTAGGTTAGTGGCTTGGGAATGCAATTTATAAATGTATTGGTTGAATGTCCTGATTGAATGGGAAAAGAATTACACTGAGCCACAGCCGGTGGCAGTGATGGGAGACCTAGCCGAAAACCCTCTAATAATAAAGCATAGTTTCAAAATTCAGTTACAGAAGTCCTAACAATAGTTGCACTTGGAATGCCCTTCATAATAATAGGAGACCCTTTATTGAGTACTTAATATATGCCAGGCATACAGGTTATCCACTTAATCCTCACATTTAAGCATTATTATTTCTATTTTTAACAAAATTTTATTTTTTAAACTGGTTCAAAACATCGAAATATTTTAAAAAGGCAACACTTAAGAAGTCTTGTTCCTGCTTGGTCCCTATCCACTCCATTATCCTGCACCCTAATGGTAACCACTTTTGTCAGATTCTTGTGTACCATTTTAAGGTATCTGTATGCAAATATTTTATTGATTCCCTTTCTTACCAAAGGCAACCCCTTTGGGGTTTTTTTCCCCCATTTAAATATGTCTTACAAATCTTCTCATATCAGTATGTAGAGAGCCTTTTTTGTGTTCTTTTTAATAGCTATATTGTGTTCTATGGTGTGGGTGTGCTATTATTTAGTTAATAAGGTCCTTATTGATGGACACATGGGTTGTTTTCAATCATTTGCTAGTATAAACAATGCTGCAATAAATAACTTGGAACATTTTATACGTTACACTTAGTTTCCTATCCTCTGTAGTGCCTTATTGGGCATACACCAGGCACTCAATAATCACTTTATTAAGAAAGCAATCATTATTACTGTATATAAATATTAAAATGAAACTCCTATAGAAATTTCTTAAAATGGTCCTCCACAAGAGAATTCACACTAGTTACAGCCCTTTTTTTAAATTCTAGAATATCACTTTGATGTGTGCCATGCATTTAAATCAGTAATTGTCTTTTGCAGCACCCTTAAATTTTCCCAGAAAATGTCTATTCAGCTGCTCAGTTTAGCCTTACTTCCTCCAGTGTTCTAACAGGGTCACTGCATACAGAGCTAGCAGGATCTTTTAAACAGCCGTTTGGTTCATGTCTTAGTCATCTAGTGCTACTCTAACAGGAATACCACGAGTGGATGGCTTTCACAAAGAGAAATTTATTTTCTCACAGTCTAGTAGGCTAGAAGTCCAAATTCAGGCCATAAGCTCAAGCAGAAGGCTTTCTCTCTCTGTCGGCTCTAGAGGAAGGTCCTCATCATCATCAATCTTCCCCCGGACTGGGAGCTTCTCTGCACAGGAACCTCAGGTCCAAAGGACGTGCTCTGCTCCCGGTGCTTTTTTCTTGGTGGTATGAGGTCCCCAACTCTCTGCTTGTTTCCCTGTCCTCTTAACCTCTTGAGAGATAAAAGGTAGTGCAGGCCACACCCCAGGGAAACTCCCTTTACACTGGATCAGGGATGTGACCTGGGTTAGGGTGGTGTTACAATCCCACCCTAATCCTTTTTAACATAAAATTACAATCACAAAATAGAGGACAACTACACAACACTAGGAATCATGGCCTAGCCAAATTGATACACACAGTTTTGGGGGGACACAATTCAATCCATGACATTTCATGTCTCCAGAATAAAGCTGTGTGGACTAATATATCATAATGCAGGATAGATGACAAAAACACTAACCAATGAACACATTTAACAGTTTTTCTATTTGTCATTTTACTCTCAGAAATAAAAATTTATTAGTGTAAGCAAGACTTTGAAACTTGCTTTGGATTGAAGAGGGTTCCTGTTAGAAAATATAGTAATTCTCATAACTTTATGCAATTCAAGGCCATTATCTCTTATTGTCAGGCAGCATTGATTATAATAAACCAAGGATAGCCTAGTATAAACACACAGAATGTTCTCAGTTGACAAGTAAAAATATCAAACTAGTTAATGAATTGATTATTAGTTATTATCTGTCGCAGAGTTAAGTGCAAGTGTTTATCACATAAAATTTTTTAGCCTCAATTCAATCAATTTTTTTTTTCCCAGAGCTGTGGGCAACAAAGATAAATGGGACAAAGTCCCTATCCTCTAGAAGTTTACCATCGAGTCGATTCTGACTCATGGAGACCCCATGTGTGCAAAGTAGAACTACTCTGTAGGGTTTTCAAGGCTGTGACCTTTCGGAAGCAGATCACCAGGTGTTACTTTCAAGGTGCCTCTGGGTGGGTTTGAATCGCCAATCTTTTGGTTAGTAGTCTAGTACTTAACCATTTGTGCCACCCAGGGAGAAGATACGCTCACTGATGTTAATAATATAAGGTGGAAGGTGCTAAGAGCTATAGGAGAACAAAGTGTTTTGGGACCCTAAAGGAGAATAGATTATTGAAATCATTCCCCTAAAAACCTTAGCAGCTGATATTCTCTCTACCTGAAGGAAGAGGGTGGTATGTGAGTTGTCACTCAAAGCATGGGTAGGACTTTGACAAACAGAGATGAGAAAAGTATATCCCACAGAGGAACTACAAGCAGAAGCAAGAAGACCTGCCTTTAAAGTCAGGTTCATGAAGGAACACTAAGAATAATATAAAACTGAAGGACAGATTACAAATCCACATATTGGAGATAAGTGCAATAATTTTTGCAACCTTAATGATACACAAAACGTTACTAATTAAACTCTGAAATGTACCAAAGATGTATCAATGCAGTTTTTCCTAAATAAACGTAATAAAACATTACCTATATGTGCTGCCAGACTGGGAGCATTTATTTTACCTTGTGTTTTTTCAGTGTATCCAGATCATGAGCAGCATCTTGTGACCCTATAAGAAATAAATCACATCACCTTGAACATACAAATTAGTCCTCCTGATATTCTATACAAATTTTTGCAATAATTCTGTTATTCATTTATCTTTAAAAAAACAAACCAAAAGAAAGAAAACAACTTGGGAAGACCTCAGTCCAAATTTCTGAACAGCAATTTGGGATTATTCATCAAAAAATACTGATCTTGTATATACTATTGGACTGTTGAAATCCCACTTTTAGGTATCCGTCCTAAAAGTTATGCACATTGCAAAGATTTAGCTATCAGGATATTCATCACAGTACTGTTTGTAACACCAAAACAAACAAACAAACAAAAACCAACTAGAAGCCCCAATAGTAGGCGTTAGGTTAAATAAAAGATGGCATAATTACATAGTAAGGTATATACAGCCATTAGAGATCATGTTGTAGAAGAATATTTAATTGTACAGAAATATATTCTCAATATATTATGTGATAAAAGAGGTTACAAACACCAATTTTGTCAAATGAGAACAAAACAAACAAAAAATATGTACATGCTTCAAAATGAGCAGGAAGGATACAAATCAAAATGCTAACAGTGAATTATCTCTGGGTGGTGGGGTTACATGTTTTTTTCTTTTTGATCATTTGTATTTTCTACAATAAGCTTCTATTTTTTTTAACTTATAAAAGGGTATTAGAAAACCAAACACCCACAAAATGATCTAGCACCAGCTAGTTTGGGAACACCCAGTAGCTTAAAGGAAACACTGTTGTTCTATAGGATCCCACCCACACTCCAGTCTCTTCCTGTCAAAGTGGGCTTTCCAGATTTCCCACATTTGAAAACTGGCTCCAGTTAGTAAGTAAGGTCATAGGGGAGAACAGTTGAATTAAAGCAGATTACACAACTGAAAAAATAGAGCATTTATTATTTAAAGATTTCAAGTATTATGCATTCTGAACTAGGTACCAGCAACAGTGTTTTTGATATTAAAGCAGGTTACACAATTGAAAAAACAGGGCACTTATTATTTAAAGACTTTAAGTATTATGCATTCTGAATTAGGTACCATTTCCAGCAAGTGTTTTTTGTTGTTGTTGTTTTGGTTTGTTTGTTTTAACCTTACCTATCTGGAAAATCAGAGCCCTGGTGGCTCAGTGGTTAAGAGCTCAGGCTGCTAACCAAAAGGTCGGCAGTTCTAATCTGCCAGCTGCTCCTTGGAAACCCTATGGGGCAGTTCTACTCTTGTCCTAAAGGGTTGCTATGAGTCGGAATCGACTTGACGGCAATGGGTTTTTTGTTTATCTGGAAAATCAGCCGGCTTCCATTACATGATTTTAGGTAGCCACTGACAGAAAGCTCCTGGATCTGTGTACTCATAAAAAGGCCAGCAAGTACACTGTTTGCCCAATATTCTCTTGATAATACCAAGCTCACAGGCTCCTCACTGAGTCCATATCCAGGTTTAGCCCACTTAAAAGTTAGCTTATAAAAATATTAACATTTGTTAAAGATGGATGTTACACACGTCTGTTATATTATTCTCTGTCAACATTCAGTACATTCGAAATACTTCATAATTTTAAGAGCTTGCTCAGTTGTCTGTAGGAAGTCCTAAGCATCTCCAGAGGGGGAAAAACGGGTTCAAATAAATTTATTGAAATTACAGTGGATCAGTATGGTAAAATCAAATGTATATGATCTTTTAAATGATAACTCTACTCTGCCTATTTGTTAAAATAGCCAAAAAAAAAAAAAAAGAAAGGAACTTGAAACATGACCTAAATGAAATTCTTTCCTTTTATTATCCTTGTTGTTGCTGAGTGCTGTCCAGTTGATTTTAACTCATAGTGACCCCTTGTGACAGAACAGAACTGCCCCAGAGGGTTTTCTTGGTTGTAATTTTTACAGAAGCAGATAGGTCTTTCTCCCACAGAGCTGCCAGGTGGCTTTGAAATGCCGGTACCTGGGTGGTACAAATGGTTAAAAACTCAACTACTGGCCAAAAGGTTGGAAGTTCAAACTCATCCAGAGGAGCCTCAGGAGACAGGTCTGGCGATTTGCTTTTGAAAGGTCACAGCCTTGAAAAACCTAAGAAGCAGTTCTGTTCTGTTACATGGGGTCACTATGAGTCGAAATTAACTTGACAGCACCCAACAACAAGGATAATAAAAGGAAAGCATTTCATTTAAGTCATGAGGGCTCGACAGCAACTAACAACAATTTTTTCCTCTTGGCTGCCATCATTATAAATATATATCAAAGTTGGATGCTTTGATCATTTCCACTAAAAAAAACAGAAACAACACATATGCCAAACACAGAACAGGCAGATTATGTTTCAGAGCTGGTTGCCATACTTTGCAAGTAACTTCAAGGTATGGCTATATTGATATAAATTTAGTATGTTGTTGTTAGTTGCCATCAAGTTGATTCCAACTATGGCAACCTTGTGTGTGAGAGTAGAACTGCTCCATAGGGTTTTCATGGCTCTGATCTTTTGGAAGCAGATCACCAGCCCTGTCTTCTGAAGCGTCTCTGCCCTATAGGGTCACTATAAGTCAGAATCTACTTGACGGCAGTGGGTTTTTGGTTATACTAAATTTATATATATACTTAAGAGGGAAAAAATGGAATTTGCATGGTCCGCCTTTTCAAACAATAAGAAAAATCATATAAGTGTTAATAGCATGTGGGAAAAATTTAAGTCAGTACAAACGGACTGCAGATAATCAGCCTACATTTTTCACCTAATACTTGGTAGTATCCCATTGAATTAATTATCTCTAGATTCTAGATATAAACATGAGTTTCTCTCATATTTTAAATGAATGCTTTGTATTGTAGTCTTTTGTTAAATTTTAATTGATAAAACACCTCTCGTTTAAAGCAATAAACATTGTATATTGTATATTATGATAATCTGTTATTTTAAAAAGTTGTTCTGGGAAAGTAGAATGTTATCTTTCTCTAATTTATCTTAATCTACAGGAAATATATCACTTTTAAGAAGTTGATGATTTGGGTAATGTTTACACAAATCTGTAAGTGTTAAAATTCATACCAAAAACTGATATGAAAAACAATCTATTTTCTGTATGATAACTTAAAAAATGACAATGAAGAAGTTAATAAATAGGAATACACCTGAACAAGGAGGTCTAATAATAATAACTATTTACTGTTATATTTTACACTCACACAAACCACTAATATTCATTACCTCAGCTAAGGATCATAGAAATGTTACAGATGAGTTGACTGGTTTAGAAAGAACACATAAGTTATTAGGGTTGAAACTTCTAACGAGTTCAATGTTTTACAATCACAGTGTATGTATCATAAAATACAATCTGTGTAAGATCTCTAGAATCTTGTTTCTATTTTTTTCAGAAATCCTCTTTATGAAAACACCAAATACAGAACACATTTTGATATAGCATGCCTTAATTTACAATCACTATTTTCATCATCTCAAAAACAAACAAAAAAGATATTAAAAAGGAAAAAAGATACTAAAGAGGGAGATAATATTCTAATAAGGCATGTTTTGAGAAAATTTATAGGAGTGAATATTCATAAATAGATATAGAAGCATGAATTATTGAGAATTAAATAACATAATATTCATGAAAGAATTTTATAAAATAAGGAGCTATACAAATATAAACTACTGCCTCCCAAGAATACTGATCCCAGATCTCAGAAACCTTCTGCTGATGACCTCATAAAGGATACCAAGTTTTTCACATGGAACTGAACAGAAGATCTCAAAATCTCACAAGTTGGGATTTTTTAAAAAATTGGATATAAATAATACAAAATAATAGTATGTCTTTTAACTACCCCAAATAAATGGTAATTTCAACTTTTACAAAGACGTATTTACAAAAAAAATTTAATATTTTTGTTGTAAAAATATAATTTTCAAAGTCTAAGAGCAAAAGTGCTCCCTTACTAAAATCTTTTATCAAATTGCTAGCTAGTCCAGGGGCCTATGTAAGACTTTTGAAATGCAGTAGCTTGTTTGAATTTATAAGCTAGCTATAAAAGACAGATAACATTTTTACAGCTCTCCATTCTCTTTATTCCCCACCAAAAAACAGCAGTGCTGGCAGGGAGCTGGGCTGCTTTGAGGAGGCAGAGGGAGTTCTAAGAAGCAACCTGGAAACAACCCCCATGTTCTGGAGAGATGACCAAATCTGATCAGAAACAGCCCCCACATCATTCATGTAGAAGAATTTAAGATGTAACCGCTTGTTACAGGAATAAGGCACCTGTAACTAAGCAGAAAATGGTCTCTCAGAAGAAAGGAGGTTGTACTTGATGAAGTATCCCATTTCCTGGTCCAGAGGGGAGAGCATATAAGGACTAGTTTCAGAAGCCTCTCCCAGAATTCTAGGGCGGGTTCTAATCCCAGTCTGAGAACACTACCTTGATAGATTCACTTTGGATAAATCCACATAAATTTTTTTTTTTAAGTTCATAAAGACTCTGAAAGGATGAATGACATATCAAAATCCTACTGAAATGATTTTAAACTATTATTACTAAAAAATAAAAAAAACAAAAACACCCAAAACAAAAATCAGTTGCTGTCGTGTCCATTCTGACTCATGGCAACCCCATGTGTTGCAGAGTAGAACTGCACTCCACAGGGTTTTCAAGGCTGTGACCTATCAAAAGCAGATTGCCAGGTCTTTCTTCTGATGCGTTGCTGGGTAGGTTCTAACTGCCAATCTATTGATAAATACCATATTTTTATGCAAATAACATGCGCCACCCAAGAACTCCATTATTACTACAATGGAAGCCAAATAACTGAAATACGTACCTGGACATATTTTCTTTCCTGGATATAGTAGACAAGACTTGGGTGAACTTTCCTGACAAGCTAAATGACTCAGTTAATTTTTCACTTGGTTCCAGAAACTAGTTAGAGATCTTTACTTGCCGAATTTAAAGACAGCCCATGTAACAATTCATACAATACACAATACACTAATACCTCACATGTATACTTCAAATAATTTGTTTTTCAAAGAACTTTCACAACAATCTCAGGACAACTCTTAGAGGTAAGCTGATACTGTTAAATTCAGCTTTACAGATGGCTTTTTGGAGGACCAGAGAGGATAATGGCACTAACTCATCTACTAAATTGAGGCAAATTAGGACTGAAACCCGGGCCATCTGAGACAATCTAGTACAATGATGGAGAGCAAGGCTTCGGCATCAATCAGACTTGGCCTGGAAGTCCATTTCTATCATTTACTAGTGTATTACTTTGTGCAAGTTATTTAACCAATCTTAAATCCCAGTTCTCATTTGTAAAATGGAGCTGAAAATCCGTACTTCACTGCATACTTAATAGGAGTGAGATTCTGTGTGTAGAGCACTTAGCATTATACCTGGCTGTTTCTGACTCCCAGTTTGGTACTCTTTCTACTCTCCACAGGTTTAGCTGCATAAATACTGACAAGTCATTTAGTCTTTATAAATTTTAATTTCTCTATTTATAAATGAACAATAATTCAGACCTACTTCAAAATACGGTTGACTGATTTTCTTTTTTAAAAAACACCAGGCCTTATTCTTGTAAAGCTAACAGTTTTGGTACCTTTACAACCTTGCTTCTTTTGCTATTTGTGGACTATGTAATGTATAGGCACTTAGGATTTTCCACAATACAACAATTAGTAAACCTGTCACCCTCATAACTATAAAATAAAAGCCCTCGTTCTACTTAACACTCCAAAAATAGACACCATAATTAGATGTGGTCACTGGAAGTATGTATTCCATATGGTTTGTAACAGCTAAACAGGCAAAACAAACACATAACTATTTCAAGTATTAGCTTTTCTATAACGTTTGTCACTTGTAGTTTTGCCTAATGAAAACATTCTTAATTTGATGATTAAAAACGAACAAAGGCTACATCCTTTTATAATCCAAAACACAACATTAATGTGCTATCCTCCAGAGAAGTTTAAAGAGACAGGAAGAAAACTTCTTAAATGTCCGGTGCCATGTGCTACTAGAATATATGCTTCTTATGGACACACCGTGGGGCAGAAACCTCTCTAGCGAGCTAGTCAAAGTTCCATATCCAAAAAAGGAAACATTTTAACTTTGCAGGAGGACAGCTGGTAATACAGATTATTACACACATTAGGGAAAAAAAGAGTAAGTAATATGGTTTAAACAGGACTCAGTGGCTTAGTGGTAAATCGATATACTCACCCAAGAGCAACCATGGCTTAATAATGCCAACTTGCAGGTCCAAGCTAAGGTCCTGCACATAACCACAACCACCCCCACTGCTCGGCTCTACTTCTTCCACAACATGAATTCTGGCATCTTTCCATGTTTCCATAATTTTCTTTCCAGTTACCGTTGTCACCCTGGTGCATTGCTTCCTCAGATTATTCCGGGAGAATGCTTTAATTTCCTGGTTGAGGGAGTGCATTACATGAGCAGTAGCTAGGAACGAATACCAGCAAGCTTAGCAAGCACAGAGACAGGCTACCCTGCTTGTCTCTTATTGCTCAGGTAACAAATACAGCCCCAGAAAAGCTCCTCCCTTCAGGTTACTGGAGAAAGAAACGTCCAGTTTGGTTTGTTCCAGCGCTGCAATGGAAAGCGGTGTTTGATTGGCCATTGAGAAGCGGGCGCCGATTGGACCCTGTTTCTTCCTTCTGTTTGCCGGAAACCTACGTCATCCCTACACGCTCAGGGCATCTGCCGGGGAGTTTTCTTATTCTCGCTGTTTGAATCTAGCGTTATTGTACAAGCGGAATGGTACAGTACAAGACTTAACTGAAGAGAGGGCTAAGATTTCCTCGCTATTTAAAAGTAGTGGTTTCGACTGGCGTCGCTTGTAGTAGTGACCATGGACGATCCTGGCTGACCTGTGTGTCGCTCCTGATTTTGTGAGGCCGGCAGAGTCCCAGTGCAAACCTTCCTACTTCGCAGGGCCATTCCTGCCCGCCTGCTTTTAGACTGATATGGACTAACGTGGCTTTAGGAGAGTGGTAGGAGATGAGGACAGAAAGAAATGAGATGGATTTTGGATTTTATTCTGAGCTAAATGGGAAATCACTAGAATAATGTGGTAGACCCTGAGATGTGTGTTGCCCACCCAGTTCACCCGTTGTCTCCACCGCTGAAAGTGCTGTCAGCTGACAGGTCTCAAGCCTTTCAGTGATTGCCTCAGCTGCAGAGAGCTGCCTTGCCTGAAATTATGCAGAAGTTAAAAGTTGTTTTTCTTTTCCTATGTCCTTCACACTTTCTCTTTCTGCTGTTATTGCCAAGAGGAACTGCCTAGATAAAACTGTTGGGTATATTTGTGAGATATCAATTTAAATAAAATCTAAAAAAATTTATTTCTTCTTTTTAATTTTTTTATTATGTTTCTGTATGCAGATTGATAAGACCTTAAAATTTAGGGAATCTCTGACGTCCCTCCTACATTTTCGCCATCTTTATAACTGCTGAACAGGCAGTAAATATACACTCTATTCATAAGAAGCATTGCAGCAAGTCTTTCCATACAGGGAGTTGGAGATGATCAAGCGTGCAAACATCCAAATTTCCAAAAGAGATAAATTATAGAATAATAATTCTGATTACAAAAGGATTGTTTGTTTTGCAAAGGAAATAATATTCCTTTAAGTGAGAATTTTCCTTAACTCTCTTAAAGTGGAATTTTAAATAGACTTTGACGTAATGTGTAAACATATATAGAATGTGAAGAAATTACACTCATAAAAACATATTCTCCAACACGACATCAAAATTTTCGTTGTTGAAATTTTCTGATGTAAAATTTAAATAACCAAATTTCTCCCTGTTGAAAGGAGTGAAATTTCAGCCCAGGCCACCTACAAATCACTCTAAAACAAAGAACTGAAGAAATTATTTCCATAGTTTAAACAGTCACAGATTCATCAAAAAACAACTCTAGCCCCCAGTCAATCCATATATTTATCATAACTGACCAAAACAGTGACGAAGAAAATAACTACTAATTATTGAACACTTATTATATGCCAGGCACGTGCTTATGAGCAATTTTTAGATTCTTAGTGGTCAGGTGCTTAACAGATGCTTTATACACTTGTCCCATCTGATCTCACCACAAGCCTATGAGGTAGATGTCATTAGAATCGCCTACGTTTTACAACTGAGGAAACTCAGATGCAGAGAGGTCAAATTCTGGTAAATTTAGAACCATTAATAAAGCCTAGGTTTGCTTCAGTTCAATGCTTTTACTTTTAATTACAACAGCACACTGCCCTGCCCCTAAAATAATAGTTGTTGTAGTTGTTAGGTGACCTCGAGTCAGCTCTGACTCATAGCAACCCTCTGTACAATAGAATGAAACACTGCCTGGTCCCGCACCATTCTCACAATCATTGAGATGCCTGAGCCCATTGTTGCAGCCACTGTGTCAATTCATCTCATTGAGCATCTTCCTCTTTTTTGCTGACCCTCTGCTTTACCAAGCAAAATGTCCTTCTCCAGGGACTGATCCCTCCTGATAACATGTTCAAAGTATGTGAGACAAAGTCTTGCCATCTTGCTTCTAAGGAGCATTCTGGCCATACTTCTTCCAAGACAGACCTGTTCATTCTTTTGGCAGTCTATGGTATATTCAATATTCTTCACCAACACCATAATTCAAAGGCATCAGTTCTTCTGTCTTCCTTGTTCATTGTCCAGCTTTCGCATGCACGTGAGGCAATTGAAAACACCATAGCTTGGGTCAGGCGCACCTTAGTCTTTAAAGTTACCTTTACTTTTTAACACTTTAAAGAGATCTTTTGCAGCAGATTTTCCCAAGGCAATGCATTGTTTGATTTCTTGACTGCTACTTCCATGAGTGTTGAGTGTGGATCCAAGTAAAATGAAACTCTTGACAACTTCAGTATTTTCTCTGTTTGTCATGATGTTGCTTATTGGTCCAGTTGTGAGGATTTTTGTTTTCTTCATGTTGAGGTGTAACCCATACTGAAGGCTGTGGTCTTTGATCTTCATCAGTAAGTGCTTCAAGTCCTCTTCACTTTCAGCAAGCAAGGTTGTGTCATTTGCATAACGCTGGTTGTTAATGAGTCTTCCTCCAATCCTGATGCCCTGTTCTTCTTCATATAGTCCAGCTTCTCAGATTATTTGCTCAGCATACAGATTGAATAGGTATGGTGAAAGGATACAACCCTGATGCACACTTTTCCTGACTTAATAGTACTTAACACATATTTATTTAGAACCTATATACGCCAGGCACTGTTACCAGCACAGGGGATAAAGCAGTGAAAAAGAAAAAAAAAAAAGTCCTCACATTCATGGAGTTTATACCCAAGCTGGGAGAGGTGGATGGCAGACAAGAAATAAGTTAATGCATATTCATGTTAGGTCATGATAAGTATTAAAATAAATAAATAAGTGAAATAAGGGAACAGAGTAAAAGGGCAGTGTGTTATCTGCTATAGATTAGTGAGAGAAGGCTGCTCTAATAAAGGGAAATTTGAGCAGAGACTTGAATAAAGTGCAAGAGTCAGCCTTGTAGATATGTAGGGAAGAGATTCCTAGGCAGAAGAACAGCAATTGCTGAGCAGAGCATACTTGTCGGGGGTGGGAGGTGGGGACGTCCAAGGAACAGCAGGGTGACTAATGTGGCTTTAGGAGAGTGGTAGGAGATTAGGACAGAGAGGAATGATATGGACTTTGGATTTTATTCTGAGCAAGATGGGAAGCCACTGGAATGATGTGGTAGACCCTGTGATGTGTGTTGCCTAGTTCACCCTTCAATGCATTCATTCCTGTTGTCTCCACTGCTGAAAGTGCTGTCAGCTGACAGGTATCAATCCCTTCATGGATTGCCTCAGCTACAGAGAGCTGCCTTGCCTGAAATTACACTCTTCATCGGACAGCCCACATCCATAATGTCCATGTGGGAGCATAAAGGCCTGGCCATCTTAGCCCAACTCGGGACAACTCTGAAGGGCCATTCTAGCTCTACAGCACAACATAGGGTTGGCTGAGCCTGTCATTGGACCTGCATAACAGCTTGGTTTCTCCACTTGCCCAATCTTGCTTCCTTCTCCTCCCTTCCACAAGTGTTGATCCATAGGGCACTCCTTAGAAAGTCCTGAATGCTAAATTCTACCTCAGAATCAGCTCCCAGGGAAACGTAATCTGACAAGTAACATGATATTACTTACGCTGTAGAAAGACCCTATGGCTTCCGTAAGAAGAGGGAGCAAGATGGAGCAGGTAGATTTTTTAGGAGGCTGCTGCAGTGGTCCAGATGGAAGATAAGAGCTGCTTGAGCTAGGATGGTAGTGGGGGGTGGGGGGAGGTGACAAGTAGACTCTAGACATACATGAAAGCCAAGAAGATTTATTAATAAATTGGATGTGGAGTGTGAGATACAGAGATGAGGATAATTCCAAGGTTTTTGGCCTAAGCAACTGAAGAGTAGACTTGCTACTTTCCAAGAAAGGGATGATGGGGAGAGGAAGAGTTCAACTCTGGACATAAGTCTAATATGCCTTTTAGTCAACCAAGTGGAGATGTCAAGTGGACAGCTGTACATATGAATGTGGAAGTCAGGGGAGAAGTCTCTGATGGAGGTGTAAATTTAGGAGTATCAGCTTAAAGATATCATTTAAGGTCATGGGACTGAATGAGATGACCTGGTAGTAGGGTTGATAGAGAAGCTGGTTCATGCCCTCATTTAGGGGAGAAGAAGAAGAGGATCCAGCAAAGAAGACTAAGAAGATGAGTTTGGGGAGGTAGAAAGAAAAGAAAGAGAGCGTGAGGGGTCTACGAGCACAAGTAAAGAAAGTGATTCAAGGAGGAATCACTGTGTGATCTGCTGTGGCACATGCTGCTGACAGAGGTAAGATGAAAACTGAGAACCAACAATGGATGCAGATACTATGTCCCAGCATTATACAAACAGTATCTGATTCAATCCTCATAGCAACCCAACGAACTATTATTTACTTCATTTTTATAGAGAAAGACATTTGATTTGGATGTTGAAACACTAACCTTTGGTCATACAGCTTGGGTTTGTTTGTTAGGTTCTAGTAACAAGGTTGGTTGAACACAGTTCTGTCTTACTGAAAAGCCCATGTTCCTTGCACCACATCATTCTACAAAGGATAGGTAGAATTGTTGGTTACACCTTGATAGCTGCAATCCCTGCTGATAATACTGTAATACTAACATACCTTCAATAGCATCGGATATTATACAAGGATTCTCAGACTCTATTCACCTCAATCCTTTATTTGACGGATAAGGAACCAAGGTTCAGAGAAAGAAACTGATTTGCCTAATGTTACATTCCTAGTGATTCCAGGTCTCTAGACTCAATATCTAATGCTTGTGCTTGTTTTACTCCATTATATGGCTTCCCAAAAAGTCCTTTAAGGGAAAAAGTCCTTTTCAAAAAGCTGGCCTGGATACAGAGGGTTTGGGAGAAGTACTCCCCTTTCAGTGTTGGCAGAAAAGAAAGAAGATGCAAAATGTTATCAGACCCAGGCCAGAGGGAGCGAGCAGCACTCCACTCATAGGGGAGG